TCCTAAGTGATTTTCTTAGTTAATTGTCAGGGTGAAATTTTTAGAGATTATGCAAGGGTTGAGATTTTCATGTATTTTATTATTTTATTTTATTATAAAAAAATCTCATAATAATAGGTTTAAGTGAGATTGGATACGGAAGAACCGCACGGAGGGCTTCTCACCTAAGGGTGTGGGGTTCAATCCCCACCCCTTCCCCCTATCCCGAAATACCTATGTTAAAAAAAAAAAGAAAAAAGTGAGATTGGACACGGACACTTGGATGATTGATTTTTCCTTCCTTAAATCTTTTTGTGAGAATTGTCCAAAATATTTACATTATAAATACAATTTTTATTTACCTATAAAAATATTCTTTAAATTTGACAGCTTGTGAGCAGAAAAAATCAAATTGACAACTATGTCTTTTCACACCCAGATATAATCTTTGCCCATCAACATCTTTGACAAATTAAAAATGCAACTAATGTCTACACCAGCTCATTGGGATTAAGATTGTTAAGAGGCAGCTCATTGGGATTAAGATTGTTAAGAGACACTTTAAGTATAAATATTATTGTACCTCAGTAAGGTGGTTCAGTGATTAAAAACTTAAGATTTTAAATTAAAAATCTTCAATTTGATATCTCAAGTTCAAACTTTAAATCGGGCAAAAAAAAATTTAAAAATGAAAAAAGTTATCTTCTCTGAACCCATTCATATGTATTAAAAATAAAAAATAAAAACTAAAAATACCAATATATCCCACCAGCCAATAAAAATAATCAATGGATTTGTTCAGGCCAGGAATATTAATTGGTGGGGTTTGCCAATGATCATATAAAATAAAAGGAGTAAACTTCTGATTTAACTACGTCACGGGAACGTTGCATTGATAAGTGATAACATATGGGACTCAGAATGGTAACTCCAATTGAGATAGGCGCAAAGGTAGAGTTTTGCGAATTACTAATGGTAGCAAATTGAGGACTTGATCGTTTGAGCAATGATACTCGGATACTACAAGAAGTTTCTAGAAAAACTAGGTTTGGAAAATACTACAAGCCATGATTTTATTCATTACTTGAAAAATATATTTTAAAAAGAGTATATCACTAGTGTATCATGACCCTGGAAGTTAATCTCTTAGGCTTGGTTCGGTTGATGGAATATATACTTATTCCTTAGTTAACCAAACATGACCTAACGGAATTTTTTTTTTTTTTTAAGCTTTCAAACAACCTGTTTTGCAATGTTAATGGTACTTACTGGATTGCAAAATATGAACATTTAGATAAGGAGAAAGTGCTTTTCTTATTAGATTATATTAGACTGTGAAATAGTATTCTTGAAACAAAACCTAAAGGATTTATTTTTTTCCCTAATCACACGGAGTTTTGGGGAAGGGGCAGGGGAAATATTGCAACAGCAGGATCAAACTGGTTAGCTTGAACCATGGTTGAAGCCACGCAGCAACTTCTGCAAGTGCCCAACGTACATTTTTTTTATTTTCCTTCTTCATTTTCGCTCCTTAATTTCCCTTTTCTTAATTTAAGGAATTCAATCAAACTCTCTAATATGCCTTCAGGCTCGTCAATTTTCATGAGCTGCTGCGCAACTTCCGCCGGAGTAACAGATACTTCTTTAAGAAGATTTTCAATAGTGGCAAAGAGATGGTCATTATCGATTTGCAGGTAGGAGTCTGCAAGCTGTTTGAATGCTGCAAAAGTGCAGTAACCCATGTAGATCTCACGATCGATCCGCCCCGGCCGTAACAGAGCAGGGTCCAATTTGTCCTTGTCATTCGTTGTGAAGATGATGAGCCTCTCGTCTTCAAAGCTCGACCACAACCCATCAGTGAAATTAAGCAACCCAGATAATGTAATCTGAAAAAAAGAAAAGAAAAGAATTCCTCAAATCTAATCATTGATGAACTAAACTATAACTTCCTTCTAGATATTAAATTACTTACCCCAGGATCAGAAGAAGAAAACCTATGGTCTGGCTCGTCTTCGCCATACTCTTCTTGTTCATCTCTAACCTTGGTTCGATCTAAGGATGCTTTTATGCTGCAATCTATGTCCTCAACAAGTAGAATTGATCGGCCTGTGATTGAGGTGAGGAGACGTCTCAATTCAGCATCACTTCGAACACTTTGAAGCTGAAGATCGTATATATTGTATCTCAGGCGATTGGCAATGGCTGCAACCAAGGAGGATTTTCCGGTTCCTGGTGGACCGTGCAAAAGGTATCCACGTTTCCAGCTTCTTCCTACTTTCCAGAAAAACTCCTTTCGTCGGACAAACGCTTCAAGGTCATTGATTATCTCCGCTTTTCTCTCTGGGTCCATAGCCAGAGTATCGAATCTGGCAGGGTGCTTGAAAATTGCGGATTCCCATCCAGAACCACAGTTTCTTTTATTGTAGGTATAGATGTGGAGGTTTTCACGCATGCTCAGGATGGTTTGTGCGGTGGTGGCAATGTGCGGTAAGTAGCTCGCCATGACTTTTGCTCGTTCAGTTTTCTTGCACTTGAGCCGGTAGGAGTACCGAAGCTCGTCCCGATGGTAGAACTTGATGGTCTCTCTAAATAGAGACCACTCCAATTTCATACCCTGGAACTCATCAATTATCTTACAGTCAACCGAAATTCTCAGGTCAAGGTTGTGAGGTTTCAATAAATTGGCCGACCCAATGAGGAGACTATCAATGGAGGTGGCAATTATGGTGGGCAAATATGTCTCCACAGCACGATATGTGTGGTTACTCACTGCTTCCCAGCGTTCCTCAACGATGAAAGTGAAGTTAGGGGAGAAGTGGGACAGTGATTGGGAGAGCTTTAAGAAAATGTAATTTCGTATTTCGCTGGGAAGCATCTGAGACAAGATTGTGCGAAATAGCATGATGGCGGCAGAAAGCGAAGCATAAGCGGAGAGGATGGTGGAAATGGAAGGCATTTCACTCAAAAAAGAAGCCATTGTATCTAATCTCTCTCTGGTTTTCTTTTTTTGTGTGTGTGAAAAAAAACAGAGGCAAATAAGGGTATATATAAAAGGAATCGGGCAGTGGCGGAACCAGAATTTTACGCAGGGTAGCTCCTTATGGTAATTGGATTAAAATTGTCAATTTTTCAGTAGTAACTTCACTGTACTTATTTGGAAAAAAGAATATTTCAAATTAACAATAAAAAATAAATAAAAATAACTAGTAAATAATGATAATTATTAGTATGTTTTTTTACTCATTTACTAGTCTCCAAAAAAATTTTTTTATGAATAAAAATGTATTATAAACTATGAGTATGAGGGTACTTGCCCATTACATTAGGATGTGTGCTTTATCATATTAAGAATGAGCAGTACATAATTTTTAGAATTGACTCCAGTCACTAAAACAAAAAGTAGCATATTTCAATTTACCTTTTATCCAAGCAAATGTTTTGGTCTTCACTAGCTCGATTAAATTGTACTCATCCCATTTAAGTTTATCGAAAGCAATTCCATTTCTAAAATACCATATGGCCCAAGTAGTAGTAAATATGGAGAGGACCCAACAATCTTTAACATCTTGAGGGACTGGGAGTGAGCAAAGCTGAGTAAGTAGTTTGGGGGCCTTGTCAGGAAAAACAAGAGAAAAACCCCACCAACAACATATGCGGCTCCAAATGCTTTGGGAGTATATGCATGTGGCAAAAATATGATTTGCATCTTCTAAATAACCATTACATAGCACACAACCAAATCTAGATGCTAACTCAATACCACGTTGGATGAGATTGTCCTTTTATGGGAAGGCGATTTAATAGAAGACGCCAAGAAAAGACATTGACTTTTGTGGGTATAAGATGACTCCATATTAGCTTGCAGTAGAATTTATCCAGACAAGGGGGAGACATGTCAAGAAAAAGATATGTCATTTTTGTAGTATAACCAGCAGGACAGTGCTTCCATATAGATTGATATGATTTTCCTACAGAGATGCTAACATTTTGCAGGATGTCTTCCAAGATTTGAAGCTCATCTAGTTCTCTTCCAAAAGGGGGTCTGCACCATTGGAGAATCCATCCCTCACCCTTGGTTGGTTTTAGATCAGCCACCAATAAGTTCTCGCCAAGAGTGAGCTTGAATAGTTGAGGGAAAACAAGCATTGTCATGCCTATAGGTTTTTTTATTATTGTTAATAATTCTTCAAAAAAATAGATAGGTTGAAGAAATTAATGAGTTGTCCAACAATTACATGTTAGACAATGATTTATTTTGAAAGATTTTAGAAAAGTTAACAAACTTATTTTTAAGGTATAATTGTTTGTACTATAAATTTATTATTTTATAATTATTTTTTATTTATGCTTAAGAATTTGAACAAATGAAAGAGTATTATTTCTCAAATAATATACAAATCTATTTTTTCTTAAGTCCTAAATTATGTCCATTTTATTAAGATTAATTGTGTTAATGTAATTTGATCTCTTGGTGGCTGCTATATGTGCACCAATTTGTATATTTTTGCATTTGTCAGCAAATTCTCCAAGGCCTGGTACTAATAGTATGCTGGAATAGGAAAATGAAGATGGACATAAGGAAAACAGAGAGAGAAAGTGTATTTTAAGATTTTAATTTTTTGAATATTTTGAAATTATTACTTACACTAGATAAAGCACTAATGAAGTTTTTTTTTTTGCAAATAATTTTCACATCATGGAATATTGAAGTCTACTAATGGGTCAAAAAATATCAGAATTGAAATCCTTAGTTAAGAGCAATTAAAATTTGTTCCTTATTAAATTGATGAAATTTAATATCTTACTTAACTATTTATACCAATTACCAAGGTAGAACCTTTCTTGTTTTAGTTTGTTTTCTCTTAATATTTTTAGGGGCCCAACCCTTCCCCTTAGTAGTTCCACTGGAATCGGGTGGAGGGCCCCTTGCTGTTATCAGGGGAAACCTACGTCGATGGCTATTGTTTTCCCATTTACGAATAGTTTAAACTGTGAATCACCTTTTTATGAAGAAATTATACACCAAAATTAATAGTATGATTGATTTAAGGGAAGTGGAGAAAATGAATGAGTTTTTTGATTAATTAAATTTCAATGTTTATAAATAATATAATTTAGCTAGTCAAAAAATTTATCATACTTCTCCTTTCTTATCCTTTTTTTTAAAAAAAAAAAATGCTTTAAAGGCTTATTTAGTGTAGTGATTTAAGGTAGTAGTTAGTGATTTTATTCAAATTGTTATAAAATAGGTACGTAATAAATTTTTTTATTTCAAAATCACTACAAATTAGATATTTTGTAAAATTTTTTATTTAGCAATTTGAAACTAATAGTAATTCAGGTTCAAATGGTTAGTAAATTGAAATTTTTTAATTTTATTGATAAATTTATTTACTTTAATTTCTTAATTTTTGGACACAATCTTTAATTATCATTTACCTAATTAGTTTTAGTGTCATTCTTTTCTCTTCACATTAACTTATCATCAAAAAAATTTATATTAACTTAATAAATAAAATTTGCTAATTAGAAGAAATAATTCACAGTTTATTTTTTTTATTTAAAAATAATATAATTTTTTTCTTTATTAAAAGAAATTAGTGTATGATTACATCATTATAATTTATTTGTTTATTTTTATTTTTATTTTTATAAAAT